TATCTTGTCTTTGTCTGTGGTTTTGGTCAATCTGGCTATAATGTGTCTTGGAGAAGATCTTTTAGGGTTGATTCTCTTTGAGGTCTTTTTTATTTCTTGGAACTGGATCTTTGAGTGCCTCTCTAGGTTTGCAAAGTTCTCTTGCAGGATTTCATAGAACAGATTAGCAATGCCCTTATGAGTTTCTTTGCCTTCTGGACACCAATTATCCAAATATTTGGATGTTTGATGGTATCTACTATTTCTCATATATTAATTCTCATTTTGGGGGGCTATTTTCTCAATCTTCGAGGTAGATTTTTCTAGGCCAGCAATTTTCTCTTCTACATCTGAGATTCTGTTTTCTGTATGATCTAGTCTGCTTTTAATACTTTCAAGGGAGATTTTGACTTCCTGTATTATAGCCTTCATCTCTAACAGGTCCATTTGATTCTTTTTTAAAAAGTGTAATTTCTCTTTTATATCTTGCAAGAATTTTCTCACCTCCTGGAACTCGGCATCTCCTTTCTCCTCTGCAGTTAATTGTCTCTCTTCCATCTCTGTTAGCTTTGCCATTATGAATATTCTAAATTCTTTATCAGACATTTCCATGATTTCCATTGAATTGTCTATGGATGAAGAGGGGCCACTCTTTTCCCTTGGAGGAGAGGTATTTTCTTGCTTTCCCATATTCCTTGTAGCCCTGCAGTGATCACTAGTAATCTGATGGATGGTATGTTTCTTCTATTTTTTGCTTTTTTTAAAAAAATAATTTTTTAGTTGTTTTTTTTTTCTCCTTTTTTCTGTTTCTTAGTTCTTATTTTTTTCTCTCTCTCTGTTTCCTTTTCTTTTTCTTTTATCTCAACTCTGTGCTCTTCAATCTCCATTCACTGTGTTTGTAAAGAGATCTAAGGGAACTATAGCCAAACATCCAAATACTATTAGCGTTAACATATTCCTCAATATCTACTGAATCTGCTGCACAAAGGGATCAAAACAGAACAGCAAAGAGATTCCAGATCACCTCTTTCTGCGTGCTCAAATGCTCAGCTTGAACTTCAAGTTTAGGTAGACTCAATTATTTTTAAGACTTATTTCAACTACATAATTCAATGTGTATCAATTAGAAATAAGCTTACCAGAAAACTGGTCTTTCCTAAACAGTGCTGGTAAAATAAATATTTTTTTCATATTCAGATACATTGTAGAACACTCCACTTTTTCTTTGTTCTTAACAAATGGAGATAACCTCAATTACCATTTATTGAGTAAATTTAATTTTAAATACCATCTCTCCACAATATACTTATAGTACTGTTTTATGTAACATTCTTCTCCAAATGTCTAGCTTTATAAAGCAAAAGTAAAACATATTATCAGACTATATTGACTATAGACATTAATCAGATCAAAAGACAGATAGACAAATACTATTTAGATAGGTCACTGAGAAATAATCCTAGCTTCATTCAACAGCATACACTATACAAATCAATATCAACTGCATTTAAAAACATTGTACTTTATTACCTCTGAGTTAGCATACTCTGCTTGCAACTTTTTGCATTTATCTTTGAGTTTTTCAGATTCTTTCTCACGTTCCAATGTCATGTTATCCATTAGTGTTTGAACTTGAACCAGTTCTTTCTTCAGCACAGCAACATCTTCTATACCTGGTCTCTGAAGCTGTGAAGCAAGACACTTTAATTAAGAATTACAGCGAAAAACTAAAATAATATACATCTTTTAAATGATTTTCACTAGAGAGAAATCAAAATAAAAATATTCCCTAATATCAATTTTTAGTCTCCAAGCACTGAACTCTGACAATCTCCCCAGCCTCCACCAATAAACCACATCTCATCACTCTATCTAGTATTTACTAGTATTAACACTAAATGCACCATCTAGCAAATTCACAATTATCTTTAGCACTGCATTTGCTTTCCTTTCCTTCACAAACTATACCTATTGGTCATAATAATGACTTGATAAATGTTGTATTCATTCTTTTTTTTTTTTCTCTGCCAGAGGGTACATGGGTTTGCCAGGGAGAAATAGACAGAAAGAGAGGAAAAAGCACAGTCCATAGGCAATTATCATGCTGCAATTTCTTCTCCATTCCTTCTTCCTTTCAGGATTTTAATATGCATACACATCAATCAGACTTGCTTTTCAAAGCCTAGAACTCAAAATGCAAGGTTAGCCATTGTAGGATCTGGCTGACTTAACCATCAGGCCATAGAGTCACCCCTACATTCATTCTTTTTCTATCCTATTTTCTGGTAATAAAAATGAAGGAGGCTCTGCCTCAGAGGCACAGGCAGTAGCATACTGAACTGCAGTGCTGGGAGCCACATGGCCAACCATGGGTTTGGATTCCTGTCCTGGTCAGCCTGAAAACATGATGGGCACATGTACATGTCCAACAGCCTGACAAGCTGAAAAGTGGCTGGAGGGCTGAGCAAACAGGGAGGATGTATACCTTTTTCTCTCAAAAGCGTACACATGTATGCACACACATACAAAGCCTCTATCACAAATAAACTTAAAAAAAATGAAGGTGCAGGTGTCATCATATGGATTTGCTACAGATTGGATATAACTGACTCATTTATTTATATATTTATTAATGATAAATAAAGGAAAGAAGGAATTCAAGGACAGATCCAAGGTTATTAAGCCTGGGAAGAGTGTTGAAGAAGTATGGCTCCAAAGGCAGAAATATAGAGGAAATATGATGGCTTGTTGAATTTAAAATGAAAGCTAGAAATTCAATCAAAATTATCTTAAAAGTAGGTGGATCTATGAAATTAAAGTCCATGGAAAGGTCAGAACTAGATATGCAGACATAGAAACTGCTAAAAAAAAACAGGTAATCTCATACAAACAAAAACATTAAGGTAATAAGCTATATATTATAATATTCCATTTTTATTTTTTAAATCATATGTGATATAGTTAAACGTATATACATACATTTATTTATGCATATGTTAGTGGTGGAATATAGAGAATTTTTTATTTCCTCAATTTTACTCATACTATGTTTTTTGGGACCAGCAGTTGGCATAGTGGCTATGTCACTGGACTCCCTTGTAATCAACCATGGTTTGGGTTTTGGACCAGGTGGCTTAAACTCACGCCAGGCGCGTGTGTGTGCATGCCCAAGATCCTGAGAGGAGAATGGAGGAAAAAGGACTGTGGCATGGCCATCCCCCCTGGGAGGTGATTTCTCACTTTCTGACTCTCTGTCTCTCTCTGTCTTTCTGGTGAGCACGTATTCCCTATACCTAAAACCTCTACAAAAAATAAGAAACCTATGCTTTTTATAATTTTTCTTCAGAGTATATACTTCATTTTTAATTTAGGAAGGTATAAAAGTACATATATTTCAATAAATGGTTTACAAATTACCAGTTCAGTAGTATAGCCATTAAGCACTGTGCAGAGGAAGCCAGATGTCACATGGCCAACTGGTATTCAAATCTCAGCCTCTCAACACACCCAATACATGCACACACATGCACATTACCAGGATCCTGATGGAATGGAGAATTGGAGGAAAAGAACTAAGGTATGACTGCGGTCTGTTAGGGAATGCTTTCTCTTTTTATCTCTCTCTCCCTCTCATGCACACATGAGAATATGTGAATATTCATGAATAAAGGAAACAAATTTAAGAAAAGAATTTCAATTACCAGTTCAGTCTTCAGATCTTGAATTACAGTTGCCTCTTTGTTTAGTTCTTCTGTCAAATGTGTCACTTTTTGCTCAGCAGCTTCTCGAAGACTCCTTTCTTCATCATATTTTGACTTTATATCTAATTAAAGATAATTATATAAATATTAGTTTCATAACATTAATCTAGAGAAGGCCTGCGTTACAAATTCCTATATATTACTCTGCTATGTATATATCATTCTAATTCAAATTCACATTCCTAAGATAACCATAAATATATATAATGAAATCATACTTCTGATTATATTAGTGAACTTAAAAAATGTCAAATGTTGGCCAATCTATGGCATGGTGATTAAAGCAGGTGGAACCCACATGGTCAAATGCATGGTTCGAGTCCCAGATTTAGAGGCCTGAAAAACATACCAAGTACATATGAGTGCATGCAAAAAATCCCAGAAGGAGGGAAAAATTCAAAAGAAATTGCACCGTGACTATGTCCTGTGAGGAGTACTTTCTTATTTTCCCTTTCTCTTTCTCTATGTAGAGTGCACATGTCCTGTGGCAAAAAAATTTTTAAAAATCAAATGTTTTTGTCTCTATTAAGTTCCACTGAACATCTAGTTACTAACAAACATTGTAATGTATGGGGTATGAGAACAAATCATTTACATAGCAACTCTGATATCATTAAATTCCACTAATTATCACCATAGTCTATAGCAAATGACTTATACTAAAATATATTTCTAGTATATATAATGGTGAAAAGACAATGAGATAATTTTTTATTGACTAAGCAATTCTGATTCAGTTTACCTGCAATTTCAGTAGCAAGTTGGGCTGCTTTCTGTTCAAACAAGTCTTTCATTTGCTTAATATTAAAATTTTCTGTTTGGGCTTCTTCTAATTGTTGTTCCAAAGATTGCAGTTCTACAAACAAAGTGCACCAGTTATTCAAATAGATTAATTATATATGCTAAATTATTATTACTTATATCATAATCATCACAGTAGTTAATATAATCAACACATGTCTATTATCTGAGCATAAGTACTTTCACATTTAAAGAATTAGGACATTTGAGTCATTTAAGATATATAATCACAATTTACAGGCATATATAATGAAAGAGATATTTAAAATTACCTCCATATAATCTATAAATATTTGTTTAAAAGTTATTTTGATTTCACATTTCACAATTATTTTCTTATACCTGTCAACTGAAAAAAAAAAGAAATATCTTCTGTTCCTCTGACAAAATTAGTTATAAAGCCAGATGAAATTAGAAATGATAAAGAATAATCAAGGCCTTGAAAAAAATTAATCAATTAAAGTATGCAGTCAACTAATACTTAGTTCTCATAAAGAGAAAATTTTTTGGAAGAAACTAAATACAACAACTAATTTTGAAATATATTTTTGATTATTCATTGAGTATTTCTCTAGTAAAGACAGTCACAAAGATGCTACTTGCATCAATTTCTTACTTTTTCTTTTTTTAAGAGACTTTTGCTACAGGGTGCATGTGCTCACCAGAGATAGACAGAAAGCGAGAAATCACACCCCAGGGGGATGGCCACAATCCCTTCTCCTCCGTTCTTCTCTTGGGATTGTGGGCACACTTTTAAGCACATGCACCCAGCATGAGTTTTAAGCCACCGGATTCAGATGGCTTAATAGATAGTCGAACTGTGGTCAACTATATGGGAGTTCAGCGACATAACCATTATGCCATCTGCTGGTCCCCCATCAGTTTATTTCAAGGGACAGGGACTATTTCACTTTTGAAAATACACTAAAATTTTAATTAAAAAACAGTATTAATGTAATATTCCAGAAGTTTAAAATAACTTAAAATTTTGATTAACTGATTGATTTATTAAGTTCACAGGTAACTTTCTAATCCTAAAATAAGATTGTTATCTTCACTATTATAAAGCTTATAAAATATAACCACTATATCAAAATTCATTAGCAGGTACCAACGAAAAGGAAACAAAAAAGAAAAAAGAATAATGAGAAAGAAGAAAATGAAAAAAATAACTGCTTTAAGTAAAGTTACCTGCTGATGAATCAGCCACCAATCCATCAGGTTTTGCCTCCTCAATGAAAACAAAAGACATATATAAATGCATTTAAAGGAAAAGACAATATTGTTACCACTGTCAATGTTAAAAATATCTGAAAATCACATTCTGTCAGGTTAAGTATCAAGATTTGGGTAAAATTAGTTTGGTAGTCCCATTCTTTCAGATATGTATAGAACTTACTAGGCAGACTAGCTTAATGATCTAGCTGCAGTTCATTGATTATAAAACAGATTTTTCTGTGTATTATATATATGAGATTATTATGGGGCTTGCAATAGATGGCATTTAAAGTTCATAAATTCAGTAATAAATAAGTAATATAAATTATTTCAATTATTAATATAAATTCTAAAACAAATACTTGTATCAGTAAGCAAAATCCAACCCTATTGGTAGAGAGCTTTGAAATGATTCTAAACACTTACATAGATTGCTACATGAATGATATGTCTCACTATAATAAGAATTTGGAACATAGAGGCTGGCTCTGGTGACTTGAAAAACACTCCAGGCACATGTGTGTGCATCTCCAAAATCCTGACACAAAGGAGGATTGGAAGAAAAAGGACTGTGGCATGACCATGATCTAAAAAAGAGATGCTCTCATTTTCTTTCTCTCTGGCAAGTGTACATGTCCTCTGGCAAAAGAAAAAGAAAAAGAAAAAGAACTTGTAGTGTACTTTCCCTCTCTCATAGAGTATGTGATGTCTTATTTAACTCAGTAAGTGAAACTTGGATCTCATTTTATTATGACTGAGTAGTATTCCATAGTGTTCAATGTGCGATATGTTTTCGATCCAGTTATTTATCTTGGGCATTTAGATTGATTCCATGTCTTAGCAGTTGTGAATAATGCTGCAGGAAACATGGATATGCAAGCGTCTTTCCTAATGAGTGTTTTCCTATTCTTTGAGTAAATATCCACGAGTGGAATTACTGGGTCCATATGATAGTTCCATTTATATGATAGTTCCATTTGTAGATTTTTTTTGGGGGGGGGGAGTTTTTGCTATAGAGTGTGTGTACTCGCCAGAAAGACAAAAAGAGACAGAAAGTGAGAAATCAGCCCCAAGAGGGGATGGCCACGTTGCAATTCCTCCTCCTCCAATCTCTCAGGATCTTGGGCATGCATGCACACGTGCCCAGCATGAGTTTCAGTCACTGGGTCCGGGACTTGAACCACGGTCAACTACATGGGAGTCCAGTGACACAGACACAACTGCTGGTCCCTCCATTTGTAGATTCTTAACAAACCTCCATATTGTTTTCCTCAGTGGCTATACTAATTTATATTGCCACCAATAGTGCAGGAGGATTCCCTTTTCACCACAGCCTCTCCAGCACTTATCTTTCCTCATTTTCTTTTATCATAGCCATTCCTGTCATTTGATACAAAGTATATAAATATAGAATATTTAATACTAAGTGAGGCAAGTCAGACTATAAAAGACAGACATTCTATGTCCCTACTCAATATATTCCAAATATTCCCACTTTATGGAGGAAACAAAAGTAATTGGGATCTAAAAAACCAGAGACAGCAAGTGTAGATACCAGAGACAGTATAGGAGGAGGTGCATAGTGGGAGGTGGGAAGAAGGAGCTCAAGAAAAAAATATTAACAGACTTAGAACTGGAAAGTTATTTGTTGAGGATGATGTATACTGTAATCTTTGACTTGCTTGATATGCAATGCACGTATACTTTGAAAAAAACAAATTGTATGCTGTAAATATGTACAATGACTAAATGCAAATTTTAAAATATACATATATAAAGAAAACTTAGAATAAACTTCCCCTTGCCTCAAGAATGTACCATCAGACATTATAAAACACGATATGTGAGCTAAAATCTGATCTACTGAACTTCGAAATATAAATAAGCCTAAGAGCTTGATAAGCACCTTGAGAACTTAGGCCATGGTAGGCTGCAATGCTTCTCCGAAGACCAAAAGCAGATGCTGTGACAAGCTGCACTAAGACAGCCACTTATAGACCCACAACTTAGGATAAGACCCAGGGTCATATCTGTTTGCCTTTGAGCTGTAAAGTCCAACCCACCAACACCTGTACTATCCTCTAGAGGAGAGGTATCTCATCATCATGGATTTCTACTGTGTTAGAAGACATTACTCCCAAAAAAATCACTCAAAAAAATTTTTTTAAAGATACACATCAAATTTTAATTAGACCTTACTTCTCACAGAGGCCTGCTTCCGCCCTGAGCAACTTTAATACAGTAATCATTTATAAAAGCAGAAATAAGGGCATGAATAAAATAAAATGATCATTCTCAGCATTATATTTATATTTGTATTTTAAAGAACTATACACATCTGAAAGAGTTTTAAATGGCATTTCATAGTTTATCAAACTTTATTTCCTAACATATTGGCTTTAGACATACTGACTGGTAAGACCATTGATATTTAAAATACATTTCCCAAAGGGTAAATTTCCTACCCACATAATTTATATTTTTCTTTGTAGAGAACTTACATATGTTTATTCAGTGCAAGGTACCCATGCAGTGGTACACACTACTAAGATGCTGGGCTCTGCAGGCTGGGACCACCCAGTTCAACTCCTGACCCAACTTAAAGGTTAGGTGCAGTAGCACACACAAAATTCCAATGACCTGAGCATGAGGCAGGAGAATCACAAGCTCAAGGCAGGCCTGAATAACAGAGCCAGACCTTATCTAAAAAAGTGGATGGGTATGGCTGTGCACACCTCTAATCCCAGCTGGGTCACTGAGGCAGGAGGATCCTGATATCACAAGACCTTATCTTTAAAAACAAAAATCAAAAAACAAAACACACACACACACACACACACACACACACACACACACAAAACAGTGAAATAATCATTCAGATGTTGTTAACAATTTCCTCTTTTTTACATGTTCAGAAAATAATATAGCCCACATTTGAGTAATCATTAATGGATTCTACATATAACACATGAATAAATGAACTGTATTTTAAATTAGTAAAAACCTCTTCAATATTAACAGCATCCCCAATTTAAAAAGTTGAGTAGTAATAAGACTGGTATCTTATTATTCACTTATTTGTCTTTCCTTTTATAGCCCAAATGAGCATTTTTAATGCAACGACGAAAAAGTAAAAAAAGACTAAAAGGCACAATGTGTTAAGCTAATTTACAAAAGGATCACTAATTGCTTTATAAAAATAGAATTATTGTTAAAGTTATCTACTTCATCCTTACAAATGAAGACTATATATGAATGTGGTCTTATTTATTATTCTTTGATTCTTCCTATAATTTTAGCATAAAGTCAATAAAATTTTAGCATAAGATCATAACTGCTTAAGGCATTATTTTTAAACACACTAAGCTATGAAAATCTTAGATATAAAGGGAATCCCACTCAAAGCTAACCACTTTTGATACTTGCTACAGTTTGGATGATGACTGCTCAAGTTCTGGAGTTTGAAAGTACCCAAAAATTAATCTGTTGGGACTTGATTGTATGATTAAGGTGTTAAATGAAAACTTAGTTCATCTTAATTTCTTCCTAGTGTTCTATAGTGGAGCCTTTTGGTATAAGAATGTCATGAAGGCCAGGCCCCTACGATTGAGAGCTAGCAAAGGGAATGAGACATAGAAAAAGATGGATAGTCAATCTGCTTGAAATCCTGCCCTCTGCCATGCTGCAGGACAGCTTTTAGACTTTCCAGCCACTAGAATCGTGAGTCAAAACAAACTTCTATTCTTCTAAATTCAATCAGCCTTAGGTATTGTTGTTAACAATGCAATAATGAGCAATGACAATACCACAAAGATTTTGGGTTGTTTTCCTCTGTATTATTCTATAGTCAAAGCTATATGATATGTGTGTGTCCCCACACACATGTACATGAACATACATCCATACATTTTTATTGCTAACACTGAGCCAGTAGTGTGATGGTTGCTGGTTCCCACATGGTCAACTGCATGGTTCAAGTTCCAGACCCAGAGGCTTGAAAAATATGCAGGGCATATATGCATGTGTGCCCAAAACCCCAAAAATAAAATACAGGAGGGATTGTAGTATAGAGATCCTTCATAGTGGGTATTTTCTCTCCCTCTCTCTATCTCTTTCTCTCTCTCTCTCTCTCTCTCTCTCTCTGAGTGCGTGTGTCCTATAGCAAAATTTAAAAAACAAAAAACAAGAGGAACCAGCAGATGGCATAATGGTTATGTAAATGGACTCATACATAGTTGACTGCAGTTCAAGTCCCAGACCCAGTAGCTTAAAACTCACTCTGAGCATGTATGTATGCATGCCCAAGATATCAGGAGGAGAAGGAATTGAAGTGTAACCACCCCCCTCCCCCAGTGGTGATTTCTTGTTTTCTGTCTTTCAGTCTAGTCAGCAAGCACACAATAGCCAAAATCTCTCTAAATAAATAAATAAATAAATAAAAATAATAAAAATTGAAAAACATGATACAAAAAAAAAAACAAAAAACAGGGGATCAGCAGATGGCATAATGGTTTCATCACTGGACTACCACATGGCCAACTATGGTTTGAGTCCCAGATCCAGCAGCTTGAAACTCATGTCAAGTTCATTTGCACCCATGCCCAAAATCCTGAGAGGAAAATGAAAGAGAAGGGACTGTGGTGTGACTATCCCTCCAGGGGGGTGATTTTTCACTTTTTGTCTCTATCTCTCTCTGTCCCTCCAGCAAGCACACATACCCTATAGCAAAAATCTCTTTAATTAAAAGAAAAAAATCCTAACATTGTTAATAGAAAAGTTTTACTATGTTTTCAATCTTCATGAGTATAAACTATTAAATAGTTAATAAATAATCTTTCATTCTCTATTAATAGACATTTTAGTCATTTCTAATTTGCCACAAATGTTCTGAAAAGATTCACTATTTTTTAAACCTATATATATA